ATAAAAGAAAATGATGAACATGTGATTGGACAATGGAGGAAGGGTGATGCTTTTTATGCAGTGGCAGATAACTTGTCTGAATTGTGTTCAAAAGTTTGATGGAAGGTAGAACTTGTAAGTGATGAATTTGGATATCTGGCTGAGGAGATTTCTAAGCAAGGTCTTAAAGGGACTGCATGGTTTCTCCTTGCCGCCTGGAATAAAAAGTGAGAGGAAAGAGATAAACTTAAAAATGAAGTGTACAGGACTTCCGGCAACATTGCACTCTAGGCACAAGCACCACGCCGTCCCTCCACAGCAAAGATCCGAAAAACTAAGCCAAACAGAGAAAACAGCGATTCTGAAACCCTGAAACATCAAATGAAGAGATAAAGAACTCAGCCAAGCACCAAATGGAATAAGAACCTGACAGAGAACAGAGAGTGAGGAGACATACATGCAGAGGTCCCCTATCAGCTAACGCAGCACGGATCCACCATTTCAGACTCCTGTCAGAGACCAGCAAATAGGGGGTATGAGAAGGCAGCTTCACAGAGCTTCCAGCAGGAGACAGAACAACTGGTAACTGGCAATATACGCTTTCCCACCCTCTACCCTTCTTCATCACCACTCGGCCTCCTGTGCTTCCTGCGGCCACAGTCTCTTGGCCAGGAAGAACCGGCTGCTTGGATTCCACTCACCTGCACTGGCTGACTCCCTGAGAGCCATTTGTTGGCTGCTGGTGTTGCTTTTTTCCACTTCTTTTGATTTCTTCCTTACCTCTCACCACCTCCCCCTCCTTTGGCTCAAATACCTGGCTCTGTGCGCCATCTTGGCTTCTTCCTGTGGGGCTGTGGAGCTCTTCTTGAGTGTGGAACTGCATCCTGGTCCATGTTGCCATGCTGGTGGGATCCCAGAGCTATTTTGTTTGTTTGTTTTCTTTTCCTTTTCTCAAGTTGGGAGCCCGTTCTGGCTGGGCAGTGCTGCGCGGCTTGGGACCTACCCCCTCAGCTTGCACAGACATGCAGAGGGATCCCTGAGAGCATTTTTTTTCCTGTTTTTTGGGGGTTTTTCTTGTTCTTTTTTAAAAATTTGTTTTCTTTTCTTTACCCTCTTTTTCCCTTTTTGCCTTTCTTCATTACTCAGTTTCTTGACTCTCTATACCTTCTTTCTCTTCCTGTCCCCTGGATACCTGGCACTGAGTGACACCTCTACATCTTCTGGCCAGGCTATACTTCAACACCTGGGAACAAATTCCCCAGACCTTGTAGCCTCACTGGTGGGATCCCTGGGAGGTTTTCTTTTCTTTTTTCTTTCTAATTTTTATTTATTCATTCTCTTTTTTCTTTTTTTCTTCTTCTACCCCTTTTTCTTTTTCTCCATTTTATAGTCTCTCATCTCTCCACTCCAATGGTAAGCTCCCCAGCACTCTTTTTTGTTTGTATGTTTTGGGATCCTGTTCCTCTCTTATCTCTCCCATACCCATCTTAGCTCCACACATCACAATCTCCCCCCTCCATCCTGCCTACCTGCACCATGCACTTACCATCACATCATCAAGCAGCACAGGCACAGCCTACCAGAACCTGCCCTGCACTGATTACTGACCCGCCCTGGTAGCTGTAGTAAGTGCCACAAACAACCCATCCAAGCAACTCATCTTCAGCTAGATCTGCCCTGCTGTAACATATCTGAGCAACTGACCCTGCCAATTGGAGAAGGAGGCGAAAAGTGTCATGCCCACAGATGAGCAAACAACAAAGAACACATATCCTGCCTGCTCAGACACAGCCAAATAAAAAAAAGGACGAAACAAACAAATCTACAATCAATAAATGAGAAAACTAACTACTGAATGCCCCAAAGACAGCAGACAATATCAAAACAATTACAAAAACAGGACAAGATGGTTCCAGTAGGC